TGTCCCTGACAGTGACGTGATGACCCCGTTCCTGCCTTTCAGTTGAGAGACCGTGAGCGCTTTTTCTCGTGAAAACGCACGTGCCCGCGGCCGGCCGGCGGCCCTGGTGGGTGCCCTGGCCTGCACTCACCCGCCTGTCCCCGCAGGGAGCTGGAGGAGCAGCACGGCATCCACTGCAACATGACGCTGCTCTTCTCCTTCGCCCAGGCCGTGGCCTGTGCCGAGGCAGGCGTGACGCTCATCTCCCCGTTTGTGGGGCGGATCCTCGATTGGCACGTGGCAAACACAGACAAGAAATCCTACGAGCCCCTGGAGGACCCTGGTGAGATGCCCTGTGACGCAGTGGGGGAGGGGAGCAGCCGCAGATGGGGGCTGCCACGTCGACGAGTGGGGGCACAGGGCGTGCAGGGTCAAGCGAGGCCAGGGCAGGGTCAGGTGGGGCACACGGTTGGTGCAGGGTCAGGTGGGGGCACAGGGCAGGGCAGGGTCAGGTGGGGCACACGGTGCAGGGTCAGGTGGGGGCACAGGGCAGGGCAGGGTCAGGTGGGGACACAGGGCAGTGCAGGGTCAGGTGGGGCACATGGTTGGTGCAGAGTCAGGTGGGGGCACAGGGCAGAGCAGGGTCAGGCGTGGGCACAGGGCAGGGCAGGGTCAGGTGGGGGCACAGGGCAGGGCAGGGTCAGGTGGGGCACATCAGGTGGGGGCACAGGGCAGTGCAGGGTCAGGCGGGGGCACAGGGCAGTGCAGGGTCAGGTGGGGCACACGGTTGGTGCAGAGTCAGGTGGGGGCACAGGGCAGGGCAGGGTCAGGTGGGGCATGGTGTCAGGGTGGTGTGCGAGGCTGTGGTTGTGTCCCCGCCCTGGGGTGTAGGGTTAGGTGGGGACGGTGGCCACAGGCAGCGCACTGGAGGGCAGGTGGCTCTGCCCGAGCCCTCCGAGACACAGCTTTGTGTCCTCCCAGGGGTAAAGAGCGTCACCAAAATCTACAACTACTACAAGAAGTTTGGCTACAAGACCATCGTCATGGGTGCCTCCTTCCGCAACACGGGCGAGATCAAAGCGCTGGCTGGCTGCGACTTCCTCACCATCTCACCCAAGCTCCTGGGGGAGCTGCTCAAAGACAACGCCAAGCTGGCACCTACGCTCTCGGCCAAGGCGGGTGAGGATGCCGTGGCGAGGCTGGCACAGCCCTGCCGCTTCGTCCCGCGGGTGATGCCGAGGACCCTCCCTCCCTTGGAGGCGCAGCTCGGGGACAGACGAGGGGGGAGTGAGGCTCAGCGAAGGCTTGGTTTTCCTCGCGCATCTTACCAGGTCCTTGGCTAAGGCGCTGTGGGCCCAAGTCCCGCCTCCAGCACGAACCTTGCGGGTGGCCAAGGGCTGGCCCCGGTGGGAGACGCCGGGCAGCTGGGCAGCGAGTGCTCAGGGACAGCTCAGCCCAAGGGGCCGAGGTGGGCGGGGATGCAGGGTGGGCACGCAGGGTTGTGGCTCGTGTCCCCCGCAGCCCAGGCCAGCGACCTGGAGAAGATCCACCTGGATGAGAAGACCTTCCGCTGGCTGCACAACGAGGACCAGATGGCGGTGGAGAAGCTGTCGGATGGCATCCGCAAGTTTGCTGCCGACGCGGTGAAGCTGGAGCAGATGCTGACGGTGAGTGTCCGCGGGGCGCTGTGGCGGGCGCCAGGCCCCGTGAGGGTGCAGGCCTGGGCGTGGGTGTGTAGGCGGGCAGAGTCGGAACTTTCTGTGGGGGCCTGGTCTTGTTCACGTGCCACCCAGTGAGAGGCCTGCCGAGGCCGTCCGTGGCTGAGGGTGGCTGGCGCTTAGGACTCTCGGTGGGTCCTGGCTCCTGTGTGGTGACCGCTGTGGCTGGCCCACGCGCAGCGCGGTCCTGGGGGGCCTCCCTCCTTCCACTCGGGGCCGACGTGCGACTCAGGCCGGGCTCGTCTCCAGGAACGAATGTTCAACGCGGAGAACGGGAAGTAGAGCACACCTGAGGCGGACCCCAGACCTGCACCGTCTGCGAACTGGGGTCTGAGTGCACCTGGCTTGCGATGAATCTTTCGTTTTTTACCAATTGGAGCAGGGACGGATCGTGGATTTCTGATTTTATGTAAGATTTTGCCTGATGCATTAAAGCAGTCACTTTTTCTGTGCTGTTTCATTTTGCTGTCTTGGTCCCCTTTGTCCCCTCAGCACCAACTGCCCCAGCTGTCGGCTGCAACCTGGGCGACACAGGGAGACAGGGTTGGGTCAGGGCGCCAAAGCACTGCCCACTGTGCCACTGGGCTGCGAGTTTGGGGGCCTTCCTGGGCGGGGACCTGCCCGAGAGCTTCCTCTGTGTCCCCAGGCCTGTAGGGTGCAGCGGTGGAGTTGGGGTGCGCAGGGTGGGCCTTTGATGACAGGGGCTCCCAGAGCCCCGCCCCAGGCACGTCGCAGCCCTCCCAGGGTGGGCCTACGTGGAGGCCGCCAGGGGCGTGCCCGGGGCAGAGGTGACACCTTTGGGGGCTGCACGATGTGCACCTGTGCACTGGCCGCCAGCTTGACGACCACGGAGCAGCGGCCCAGCTTGAGACCCAGGGGTGGGGAGCCTGCAGCCCTCTGATTTCAAGAATCTTCCGAGGACATTGGTACTTTAAGATGGGGGTGTGCCAACCTCCTCATTTGCCGGGAAATTAATAAATTTCTCTTTCCTCTTCAAACCACTTGTCCTCGTTCTTCTGATGTGGCCTCAGGGACAAGTGCTGAATTTTCAGTAACACTGCTATCGATAATCTAAGTGAGAAAAAAATGAAAATATTTTTGGTGTATGTGTCAGGTCCTAATCTGTTCTTGGTTCTTGGTGTGCTGTTGGCCAAAGGATGACCAGACACACCAAAAGCAAGGCAAGCGTGAAACAAAGTGTATCAAGGAAGGGCAAGGTAGGTTCACAGAGCAAGATGCATTCGCCACAGACGGCAAACGGCCCCGTCATGACTGTAACAGAAAAAGTGACCTGTAAAAGGTAAAAATATTTTCTCTTCTAAACTCTCACTCTTTTTGAGAACTAAAACCTACATCCCTCCCTGAGGCTAGTGGTCGGGAGAGACAGGAGGGTCCTTTGTTCTTTGTGCCACAGATGGCCGGGAGGTCACAAGACCGTCTTAGCCAAAGATGGGATGAATCCGAACCTTGACCAGCTCTGTGCTTCTGCTCAGAAGCAGGCCGTTGGTGCTTCGAGACAGGAGTCTGCCAACGTCCTTGTTCGCTGGCAAATTAATAAACTTTCCTTCTCAAAAAAAAACAAAAATCTTTTTAAGCACTAAAGGAGGCAAGAAAAGCTTCGTCTTTCTCTGCTGCACCCCTTTTAACGAAAGGATTTGTTCTGCAAAATTTGGATTCAGTCAAAAGGCCAGACTTAAGGGCCTAGAAGGCGACACTTTGCCTTAAGGCAACAGGTTTTGCACCCCTGCGGGGTCATTGCAGCCTTTGGACTTTGCATGCCAAGGGCTTGGAGGGGTGTGGTGACAAGGTGGTCCATAGGGTGGCCCCTTTTCCTAGAAGCACTACAGGGCGAGGGCCAGAGTCCAGGTCGGACCACCAGGGAGTCCAGCCTCCCAGCTGTGGGCACAAAGGGCCAGGCTGGCCAGTAGTCCAGGGAGTGCCCTGGGGCCACCTAGGGGTCAGCAGGCAGCCTCAGCCGCTCCAGGGCAGCCCCTTCCTCCTCCCCTCTGCGGGAGCCCCTGCACCCCATGCCTCTCTGCAGGTGGGTGCTGCCTGGCTCAAGGGACACCAGGCTCTGGTGAGTGAGGGCCCTTTAGTCCCTACTTGTGGGGGTCGGAGCAGCTTCCTTACCAGCCCCCAGCCTGGACATGCCTTGCCCATGCAGGGTGCTGAGAGCGTCAGCCTTGGGGCACAGCAGGCCGGGTGGTGCTGAGGCAGCCAACGCCCCTGGGGCAAGGCCTCATGTCCCACCCTCCCCTCAGCAGGGTGGTGCACAGGGTGGGCCAAGGCCCCCACAGGAGCCCCCAGACTCCCTGAGCGGGTCCACAGCTGTGTCCTGAGAGGCCATCAAGGGTCTTGTGGCTCCCGGTCCTGACAGCACCAGTGTCCCGGAGACCTGCCAGCCCAGGGTGCCGGGGACCGAGCTCGGGTCCGTGTGGAAACTGACTTTGCGGGTGTAATTTACAAACATCACGCTCAGCCACTTAAGCGCGTGATTCTACCATGTTACTACATAAGAGTTTTGCAACCATCACCACTTTTTCTTCCATTTATTTTCATCTTTGTAGAGACAGCGTCTGGCCATGTTGCACAGGCTGGTCTTGAACTCCAGGCCTCAAACGACCGTCCCACCTCAGCCTCCCAAAGTGCTGGGATTGCAGGCGTGAACCACTGCACCTGGCCCACCACTTTCTAGATTTACAACGTTTCCATCCCCTCATACCCGTCACCCACAGCCAGCCACCAATCTACTTCCTGCCCCTGGCCTGCATGTTCTAGATACACCACACACGTGGGGTCAGACACGAGGCCTTTCGTGACCGGCTTTCACTCGGCAGTTTTCAAGGCCCCCCCACGACACAGAACTACCAGAACCCTCGCTGGGCGTGGTGGTATCTGCAGTCTCAGCAACTGGGGAGGCTGAGGCGGGAGGATGGGGTGAGTATGGTCCCGCCTGTGAATAGCCACTGCACCCCAGCCTGGGCAACAGAGACCTCACTTCAGAAAATTAAAATCTTTTCAGAAGAACTTCAGTATTTTTTAATTTTTAGATGTGGTCTCACCGTCACCTAGGCCGGAGTGCAGTGCAGGATCACAGCTCACTGTACCCTTGAGCTCCTGCGGTCCTCCCTACAGGCACGAGCCACCTGGCGTGGCCCTTCGTCCCCTTTTCGTAGTGCACAGACACCAACGTTAACGAACTCACCGACACCCACCGTATGAAACAATTCACCCACTCGCTGCCGTGAACTCCTGTACGAACATTCACCATTCACGTATCGTCTTTATGGGCTTTTATTTCTCCCGGGTAGACGTGGGGGTCTGTTAACACACATTGGGCATGTGGGGAAACCCTCACCCACCCAGCTGCCACTTTTGAGGTTTTACCCCTTTTCTAGTCTCGTCCCCAGCCTGGTGGGCCACCCTAGCCCCCGCCCAGCCCCCGGAGAGGACGGAGTGCAGTGGGGAGGCCCTTGGAGCGGGCCCACCCCTTGCACGTGGCCGCAGAAGGAAGAGACCTGCAGGGCGTCAGAGCCCAGCTCACCTGCTCCCACACACACGTGCCGTGGCCTGAGCGGGGCTCCGTCAGAGGCGCTCTGCACCGTTGCCTCTACGATACATCCCGCTGCGGTCTGAACGTGTCTCCCCAAACTCACATGTTGAAATCCCCACTGCTAAGGTGCTGGTATTAGGAGGTGGGGCCTTTGGGAGGCCATGAGGTCATGGGGTGGAGCCCTCACCAATGGGATTAGCGCTGGTAACTTGATCTTGGGCTTCTCGCCTCCGTAACGATGAGAAATAGATTTCTGTTGTTTATAAGCCACCCGATTTATGGCATTTTGTCGTAACAGTCTGAATGGACTGAGACACTGAGGCACGATCTTAGTCTAAGAAGCTTGTGTCCAGAGACATCCGCCACACGGGGAAGACAGCAGACGTGCGACAGACTGCGCCCACGGCCGGGTGCAGGAGCATCTTCCTGGCCACGGCCTAGAGACGCTGGAGGGTGGGGGAGGTGGCCTCCGAGCACAGGGACGTGCCCGGCTTCCTTCTTCCACTTTGTTCTCAATTTTCCTTATCGGACAGTTTTGGGATCAGCAGGGGCCTCCCTCCAGGTCACTGCAGGACAGCCGTGCCGTCGGACAAGCTGAGCCGGGGAGGTGGCCGGAGAAAGGCGAAGAACAAGCTCAGGGTGGGGGACGAGGGGGCCTGAGCCACTCGCAGAGGGGCTACTCCAGGACCAACGGGCAGCCCCCGGGGGCTGAATGAGCAGTGCCCAGGAGGGAAGCGGGTTCCCAGTAAAGGCCTGTCTGGGAGGCAGGGGTGGCACTGTCCACTCGCCTGAGGCCACTCTGGCCGGGGCTGTGGGGAGTGGCAACTTGCTCGCGGAGAACCTCACATTGGTACGAGATTCACAACCAAACTAACTTTCCCGCAGCGCTCACGTGGGACGGACAACATCACTGCATCCACGCTGAGGTGCCCCAGGACCAACCCAGAGCTTAGACCGGGTCCCCATTACATTCTGAAACCACCGCCAGGCAGGGGTTCAAGTTAGGGCAGTTTCTTCAGCAGAAAAGTGCTGCCAGCACCAGCCTGTCTGGGGACAGGAGGCCACACATACCAGAAGTTTCCCTGTCCACCTCTGGTCAAGATGAGGCGTTCTGAGCCAGCTCCCCGAAGCCCCTACAGCTAAAGGGTGGTGGGCAGCAGAGGCCGCAGCAGAGCAAGCCCCCACCCAGGACGCCTGTGGCTGACCCCTCCAGCCAGCCGGCTCTCCCCGCACGCTCAGCCTGGGCGTCTCGGGGACCACCGCTGGCCAGCACAGCTCCTGCGGGGCCTGGGTCTCATCTCTGCCTCCTACCTGAGGAAAACATGCAGGGGGTCGGGGGCTCAGTCCCTCCACCTGAGAGCCGACACCCCCACAGCTCATTCCTGGAGGCCTGACAATCCCACGGGACCAGACCGCGCCGTCATCGAGGGTCGAGGGTCCCTTGCTGGGAGGAAGAGGCAGGGTCCCTGGAGGCTCACGGAGGCGGACATTTGGGCTGTTCGCAGGTGGTGACGTCCACCCAGCAGGCTCATTTCCTGCAGGATGGACACATGGTCAGGGCTCGGTCACCAGCACACAGCTCATCACTGCCCATGTGGCTGTGGCCCCGGAAAGAAGCTGGTCCAGCAGGAACCCGCCCACCCCGGTGCCCTCACCGGCTGCCGCAGAGGAAGAGCAGGTTCTGCACGGCAGGCACGGTGGAGCCGGCGTTCTGGCCTGTGACGAGGTGGCGGTCCAGCACGACGTGCGTGGCATCAGGCTCGCTAGCTGAGCAGGACCAAGGACACCAGCCTCAGGGGATGCCCCCACGATGCACCCCTCCTACTCCGCTGGCTCCAGGCAGGCGCCAGTGGGTCAGGAGGTGGGTCAGCCTGCCTGGGTCCGAGCTGCCAGCCACAGAGGTATACGCGAGGCAGGGCGAGGAGGCCGGCGTGGCCGGGCGTCTGCAGGCTGCAGCAGGAAGCCCCACCCCGTCCCCCTAAGTGTGGGGGGCTCACCACTGAAGCTGGCGCCCGAGTCCTTCACAAAGTCCTCCACGATGAGCGGCAGGTGGGCGAAGCCAGGGGCCCTGACAAGCTCACACACCGGGGGCTGCGCAGAACATGGGGGACCCTGAGCCTGGACAGCCACCCCCAGCACCCCCCCTGCCCGAGGTTGACCCCAGGTGTCGGGAGGTCGAGTCAGCAGAGAGCTTCACCCACCACGTGGGAGTGGGATGGGGGTGTCCCTGCTCATGACAGATACAAGGCTGCAGCAGCCGGAGCCAAAGGCTGGCTGTCCCCGCCGCGGGGTGTCCCTGGGAGGGGCTGGCTCCCCCAGCACTGGAGCACACAGCCGACCAGAACGAGACGGGCTGGAGGCTCACGGGTGAGCCCCTCGGTGGGCAGAGGGCTGGGGCAGGGCACATGCAGCGTAGGTAGGTTCAAGTCTACCCACGGGCTCACAAGAGGGGGTCATGGCCACCTGGACCCGAGACTGGGTGTCTCCCCTCAGAGGGCAGCTGAGCACCCACTGAGAAGCCCCTCAGCAGGGAGGGTGACATCCCAGCTGGGTGGGGCAAGGGGCCAGCGACCCAGGGCCTCTGCACCGGCCAGTCCTGCTGCTCCAGGTGACCCGAGCCCACGTCACTGCCTCGGTCTCAGACCGACCACCAGACCTCTGCCTCTCTGGGACGCGCCCCACAGGGCTCTGAGCACCCCGACTCGGCCCACGTGCAACTGGCGTCCACATCCCTCCCAACGTCCACTGCCAAGGGCCCTGGGCTGGGGGGAGGGGCTCTGGAGTCTCCACCCGCATCCCAGGCTGGGAGCAGAGTAGGTGGCACAGAGAATCTCCCACGATGCCCCTCACCCCATCCCAGAGGGCTCCCAGCCTGTCCCCTGCCATCGACAGCCGAGGTCCCAACCGTCCTGAGCCAGGTGGGATACGTGTTCTCAGTTCAGGAGTAGAGAGCAGCCCCAGCCACACGGGGACAACAGGGACCTGGGGCCAGCAGGAATCTGCTCTGGGGACCCAACCCGGGACATCGGCCTCTGCCCTCAGAGCACTCACCCCTGTCAGGCTATAGCCATGGAACACCCAGGATCTGTCCTCATTGGTGGCACAGCACAGGGCAGCGACGCCGTGACCAACAGCACAGATGGGCTCTGAAAGCAGCAAGGCACGGCAGGCCTGAGGCAGCACCCTCCCTCCCCCCGGGAACCACCCTGAGCTGCTGCTTCAGGCCCAGGCTCTGGTTTAGCGCCCGCAGCTCCGGTGCTGGCGGCTGAGAAACATGCACGAGGAGTCACGGGGTTCCAGGTCTATTTACCAAACCCCAGGACACAACACGGCCACCGCCGGGTGCTCCAGGCCAACTCCAAGTGCACAACCGTCCCCGGCTGCTACCGTGGCAGAGCCATGGGAAAGGCCCCTGCAGGGCTGCAAAGAGGAAGCCCCGGTGTGGGTGGCAGAGGTTCCCCGAGGCGGTGCCCGTGCCCTGCAGTGGGACCACTCTGACTCCTCCCCAGAGGCTGCCTGGAACGAGGGCATCCCCCACGGCTGAGTGGCCAGGAACAATCGCTGCCTGTCCAGGCGGTGCTAGGGACAGAGGCCCCCGCTCCCACCGTCGAGGGTGCTGTGCAGATCCCCGGCCTGCGCACCACCCCTCAGGAACACCCACCCCGGCAGACGTGCTCGGTGCAGCCCAGCCCCGGCCAGGACAGCTGCCAGGGCTCCTCGGAACAGCTTCCACCCAGGCCCCGCTGGCCTGGAACCCCAAGCCCCAGCCTGGAGGCTGCGCTTTCCCCCAGGAATCCAGCCAGCATCCCGCCTCACCCCTGGGGGCCCGGGAGGGCATGGCCACCAGCCCTCTGGGGAGCTGGTAGGCTCACAGGGCGGTGACTGGAAGCAGACAGTGTCTGTGTGGATGGCACAGCAAGCTCGGCTACTTGGGTCGGAACCAGAGGCTCTCCACACCGAGCGTTTCCAGATCCAAAACCTGAACCCTGCACCCTCAGCGGTCCCTGCCGCCCACCCCCAGCTGCCGTGTGACTTGACCAGAGACCCACGAGCCCCCCCAGGTATCTTCCCGCCTCTTTTGCTGGCAGGCCGGCTCCTCCTGGGTCTGCTCACCCACCCAGCCCCCAAGCCCCGGGGTCACCTACTGCTCTCAGAGTGGAAGTGCTGCAGGATTCGCGCCAGCGACCCGCTGTTGGCCAGGTCGACCAGGGCCCCAGGGCAGCTGGGGATCAGGAGGGCATGGTACCGGGCACCTGGGGGGAGACCACACATCAGTCACGGAGAGGCCGCGCAGCCAGGGCAGACCCTCCACAGGGACCAGCTGGCCAGGTGACATCACTTGTCACTTTGCCTACATGGGCTATGGCTCCGAAGGGCCACGCCACATTCCAATGGGCGCTTCTGACTTTCTCGTCTCCAGGTGCCCACGCGTTTCCCCCAGGGGAGCCCAGGAACCCAGGACGGGGGCTGGAGACTGTCCCAGATGGTCACAGGGCTCCACGGCTTCAGGGGCAGAGCCAGGGAACTTGCTGAAACCCCAAGGCCATCTGGAACCCGGGGGCAGGGGAGGAATACGGCCTGCCCAGCAAGGAGGGGTCCTGGGCCCACCGTCGATGGACTCAAGCTTCGCAGGGCTGGCGTAGGCCTTCAGGCGGAAGTCTTGCACCCAGCGGGCATTGCTCTCGGTCACACCCACGAAGTCCATGGCCTTGCCCTGGAGGAGCAAAGCGCTGAGGTCAGCAGGGGCCACCCCGCAGTGGGGTCAGCGGGAGCCTGGCAACACTGACGCGGGGCTGTGACCCAACGGCATCCCCTCGGGGCACAGAGGCGCCTGATGGCCTGGCCACCTTCACCAGGTTTCCCAGGTGGGGGGCTTCTGTGGCCACTAGGCCTGTCGCAACAGGAACAGGTAGTGGCCAAGGAAGGCCCAATGAGTGGGCCCTCCACGCATGGTGGCCGAGCACAGTCCCCATCTCAGGGCACACTCCAGGGTCTCACCACAGCTCCCCACTCCTTGCTCCCTTTGGCCCTCCGTCTCCTGCCTACGCAGTGGCAGCGACTGTCCCACCCACCTTGGAGGTGACTGAGATGCGCAGTGACAAATACGTACTGCATCCTTGTTATGACCCAGCTACGTCTGATAGCCCTGGGTCCCTTGGTATCAGAGGGTCAAGAATCTCCCCAGTGGAAACCTCTGCACCTGCCCGCATGGGGCCCAGCCTCACCTCGGCACACACACGTGCACACCTGTACAGAAAGGCCCCCATTCCGACAGGTGGCTCAGAGCCCAGGAAAAGGGGAGAGTCCCCACTCCTCCCACAGAGTGCTGGCACCCTCCAAGTGTCCAGTGAGGGGGCAGTGGCTGGACTTACCCCAGGGGTGGCCACCTGCAGGTTGAAGGTGGCACTGGCCATCGTGAAGCAGTGGAGGAAGGACTGGGCCGACACACCTGCAGAAGGGTCCAGGTAGGTACAGGCATGACAGGGCCAGCCTGCCCCCGACCCTCCCCCAGATGCCCCGATGCCGCCGGGGCCTGTCCTGGTCCCGGAACTACCCTGAAGAGCAGGGTAGCTCACCTCTCAAGACCCTGGGGCAGAGGCGGCACCCACTCACGTCCAGGAGGCGGATGCTCAAAGCACGTGGGACAGAGGGGCACAGCCAGGTCTGTGCTCTGCCAGCTCCAGCCCACTGGCCCCAGACAGACCCCCAAGCCAACCAGGGGGCCCGGCATCCCCCAGGGTGGGCTCTCCTCCCAGCCTGGCACCTCTACCTTCCAGCACCTAGCCGGAACCGGGGACAGGACCCAGCCCATCTTAAGTGTCCATCACACACACACCCCTCGCACCCCAACTCGTGGCCTCAACCCACACATACCCTCTCTAGGGAAGGCCTCTGCCGGGAAAGCAAACCAGAGGATGAAGTTCAACTACACTCCGCTCATGTGCTCACTGAACCACCAGGGACTGAGGTTCCCGTCCCCAGGCTGAACCAGGGAAGGGTGGCAGTGAGCGGACTGTCCCATAGAGTGCAGGTGTGTCCTGACACCTCCCCACTCCCTCCAGGAGAACACTCAGGACCCCTTTCCTCAACTGGGCTCCGGGAGTCTGCCCTCCTGATGTACCCAGCCCCCTCCTGTCCATCAAAGGACTCATAAAAAACGACAACAACAGGCCGGGCGCGGTGGCTCACGCCTGTAATCCTAGCACTCTGGGAGGCCGAGGCGGGCGGATTGTTTGAGCTCAGGAGTTCGAAACCAGCCTGAGTAGAAAGAAATTAATCGGACAACTAAAAATATATAGAAAAAATTAGCCGGGCATGGTGGCGCATGCCTGTAGTCCCAGCTACTCGGGAGGCTGAGGCAGGAGGATCACTTGAGCCCAGGAGTTTGAGGTTGCTGTGAGCTAGGATGATGCCACGGCACTCTAGCCCAGGCAACATAGTGAGACTCTGTCTCAAAAAAAAAAAAAAAAAAAACAAAAAACAAAAAAACAACAACAACAAAAACAAAACCAACACGACACCCGGTCCAGAAGGCAATCCCATAGGCTCTGGGGCCACAGCCCACCAGGAAAAGGCAAGCCCTGCCCACCTGCACTGCCAGAGAGCACAGACCACAAGTGTGTTTCTTAAGTGGCATGGTCAACTTCTTTCTACATTTATTTTAATCCTGGGATCCAATTCCCTAAACCGAATTTTCATCTTTATTCACTCGTAAATTAATACACACTCATTGCAAAATGTTTGTATATCAAGGAAAACAAAGTCTCCCCAAAACACCCCCCAGACTCTGCCCCATGGGCAGTTCCTGGCACTCTTACTTCCTGGCACTTCCTGAAGAACCGCCCACCAAGCCTACTGGCCTTTTCAAATCCGTGTCCTGAACATGCCTCCCCTGGGGCACAGCCCACCTGGTGTGACCCCTCCTCACCCACCTGCTCCAACCAGGGCCCCTGGAGATCAGTGCCAACCCCCTTCTCCAGAACTAAACCCCACTCTCACGGCCCCTCCCGCCGAGGCTGGGGCCCACCACTCAGGGCCACTGAAGCTCAGGAGGCCGTGGCCTCGACTCCGTGGTCACCCGTCCCCTGCCCACACTGAGGAGCTAGACCCCCAGAAGACTCCTGGGTCCCAACCCCGGCCCCACCTCCCTGTGCTGTGACCCTCTCCGACAGGGAGAACACAGGTGAGCTCTGCAAAGGGCTCAGCTCTCATCCTCCCCCTCCCCTGCCGGGCGCCTGGGCCCCCCTTAGCCCCAGCAGCATTGGTGCCCGCGACAGGGACCCCCCACCAGCTACCCTGTCCCGCGTGAGCCCCAGGTCAGCTCACCCTGGTGCCGAGGGGCGCGCGGCCTGGCTGCCCCGTGGCACCGACAGCCCCTTTCCGGACCCGCCGCCCGAGCCCAGAGCAGCGGTCCGCTCCCCGGAACCGCCTCGCCCCTCCCTCCGCCCCCAGGGGCTGCCGCCGCCGGCCCGCGGTCTCCGCGACAGGAGCGCCCCAGAAGCAGGACCCCGGCCGGCCCGCGCCCCCGCCTGCGCTTCTTCCCGGCACCGCCGTGACTCCCGCCGCGGTCCCCGGGCCGACGACCCCGGAGCTCGCCCGGCAGCGCCCCCGCGGACCTCGGCCCCTCACCTTCGGCGGCGCCGCTGGCCACCAGCAGGCAGGCGGGCCGGCTCGGGAGCCGCTCGGACGCCATGGCGCGGGGACGGCGCTCAGCCTGCGCGTGCGCGGGGCGTGGGCGCGCACGACCCGGAGGCCGTAGGTCACGTGCCGGGGCGGACTGCGCGCATGCGTGAGCTCGTGCGCGGAGGGCCCTAGGCTGGTTCTCTGCGCGTGCGCCCCAGACCCGAGCGGACCAGGCCCGCCGCGTCGCAGCCTGGGCACCTTCCCTGGGCAGCCCCTGCCCCGGGACGCCGGCGTCCGGTGGCGGAGGGCCACGTGTGCCAGTCCCCGGCTGCCAGGGACGCGACACCCGCAGTGTCGGGCAGAGCGCCGTGCCCTGGGCGCACGGCCAGGGGTGGGAGCCGGCCCGTGGGCCCCGGGGAAGCTAGCTGCGGCCGTTCGCTGAGAGGACGGCGGGGAGGCGAGGGCGACGGGCCACGTGCGTGCAGAGGGGGGCCCGAGTGGCCGTCCCTGCTCAGGTGCACCCGCGGGACTCTCAGGCATCCAGGGAGATGGCGTGGGGTGCATGGGTTGCGCCTGGGCAGGGCAGTTGGGGGATGACAGGTGTCCAGGGTCACTCGGGTTTGAGCTGAGCTTCTGGGAGAATGAGGGTGCCACTTCCCGAGATAGGGGCACCCCAGGAGTAATGAGTTTGGTGAGCAAAATCCAGGGTGCTGTTGGGCCAAGCTGCATTTGGAGCAGTTTTTCCTGGAGTACAGTTGGTTGCAGGTGTCCGCGGGGGTCGGTCAGCTTGCCCTGCTGAGCCTCCTCCCAGGGCCCTTCCCCAGGGTCAGATTTGAGGTCCTGATCCTGGGGCTTGCACACCTTCCTGAGCGTGGAGTTCTGGGGCATCATGTGTATGCTGTTCAGGTACCTGGTGTCCTGGTGGGGCAGGGGGAGGCTCGGGGGCCAGGTACCAGGGCCTCTGCTGAGCAGGTAGTGATGCCGCCTTTGGAAACTCTGAGACGGAAGGTGCGGGAGGACCCCAAATCATGTTGCCGTGCAGCAGTGAAGGGTTTTGTTGTTCATTTCTCTAGAACTTCAGGTCCTGGGATCCAAGGATGGGATGTGTTCCTGGGGCCTTCAGCCCTGCAGAGCTGGCCCACGGCCCTGGATCTCCAGTCACCCCTGCTGCCCTTGTTGGTGAATTCCTCCTTTTTGGAGCATGCCTGAGCCTTTCCCTGGGTGCCTTTGCAGTTGCTACTCCCCCCTCCGCCTGAAATGCTGTAGCTCCTCTGCACTCATCAACCTCCTAAGCATCCCTCAAAGCCTGTGGGCACCAGGGGCATTGTCTGGCCAGTACAGTAGTCCCTCGGTGTCTGAGAGATTGGTTCCAGGACACCTGCAGATTCCAAATTCCTCGAGTGGCCCATGCCCCAGGGCCTGGACGCATCTCTCTCCCCAGTAGCATGCAGGCCGGGCTCTCTCTGACCAAGACTGGGCTGGTGGAGTCTGGAGACGTACACACTGAGCACCTGTGTGCTCAGACCAGACCCGGGGCAGTGGCTGGGGCACAGGCTGCCTTCACCCGGGGAGGGCTGTCCGCAGCACCGCAAGTGCCAGGCGGCAGGCTCCAGCATCTGCCCCCTGCCAGCAGGGGCCTGCCAGAAGACATCAGACATGTGGGCGGGTGGTGGCCTCTCTGGCCTGGAGAGGGTGCTGTGACAAGGGGGCAGGCCTGTCCCACCCAGGTGGCCCAGGAGAGCCTGTGGATGGGGAGCAGCCAGGACCCAGGAGGTTGCCGAGGGGTTGGTCAGACAGGCTCCTCTCAGACACACTGGGCTTGGGGGGGGACCCCCTACCCACTGGCGCCTCTGCCCCCGTGCCAGGGTGGAGCCCCAGGAATGACACCCGAGCCTTCACTGCACGGCCACAAGGTCACACTTCTCTCCTGCCAGGACAGGTTCCCAACCTGGGGCAGGCAGACAGCACAGCTCCTCACGCTGGTCTGCAAGCACAAGCTCTGCCTGGGCCCAAAGACACCAGGCAAGAGTCAGACCAGGGCCGGGCGTGGTGGCTCACGCCTGTAATCCCAGCACTCTGGGAGGCCGAGGCGGGC